TTGTATATTTAAACTCATTTAAGACGAAGGAAACTCACAGCTGGAAACTCGCGTGGCACAAAAGGATCTTTCCAAGTCACGTGTGGTGAACACAAAAGACTGAAAATAAATAACAGCTACTTTATTACCTAAGAACACTCGAAAACGTGGCATTTCCTCGGAGAGGATCATCAAGTCAAAGGGTGCCAAGGGCTTTAATTGCCACTGAGTTTCCTCATGATGGGGCTGTCGGGCTCGGCGTTGGTGAAGATGCTCCCCACCACCACGTGGCTGCCCCAGAGGTTGTGCCGGATGACTTTGCAGCAGCCGAGGTCGTCCACGGAAAATCCCAAGTGCCTGTAACGCTCGTCCGTCTCCAACAGGGTGTTGTTGGTGTAAGGCCCGAAAAACTGCGGGAAAAGAGGAGGTTTCGGGTCAGAAGTCAAAAAGAGTTAAAAATAAAAGGAGAATTTTTGGCCTCAGAACTGAAAAAAGAATTTTTGGCCTCAGAACTGAAAAAAGGAAAATTTTTGGCCTCAGAAGCGAAAAAAGGGAGAATTTTTCACCTCAGAATGGAAAATATTTTTCACCTCAGAACTTGAAAAAGGAGAATTTTCCCGTCTGAACTAAAAAGGAGAATTTTTCGCCTCAGAACCAAAAAAATTTTTCGCCTCAGAACCAAAAAAAGGAAAATTTTTCGCCTCAGAACAGAAAAAGGAGAATTTTTCAGGTCAGAACTATTAAAAACAGAGAATTTTTCAGGTCAGAACTATTAAAAAAAGAGAATTTTTCAGGTCAGAACTATTAAAAAAAGAGAATTTTTCACGTCAGAACTATTAAAACCAGAGAATTTTTCACGTCAGAACTATTAAAAAAAGAGAATTTTTCACGTCAGAACTATTAAAACCAGAGAATTTTTCACGTCAGAACTATTAAAAAAAGAGAATTTTTCACGTCAGAACTATTAAAAAAAAGAGAATTTTTCACGTCTTGCTTTGATAGAAGTTTTCTTAACTCTCTCTCCAGTAAATTTTAACATTCTGCTTCATAAATGTCTTGGTAACAAACTCAGCTCCTCCAGAGACCCGTGTGATCTCACAATCAATGCACACACTGTTTGATAGGAACAATTATTCATTTTTTTACTGCTGCAAAGAGGCTTTTTAAACCCTCCATCCCCACAAACAGGTGTCAGGGTTACCAAGTTACCCTGGCAGGGCACAACCAGCTTCTTGTGCAGTGAGCAAAAGCTTTTTTTTGGGGGGGGGCATAAAAACTCCAGCTCTCTAAAATCCAACTTCATTTCCTCCAAGTGCCAACTGCAAAGAGAGCTGACACCCTTTGGGAATGGCTCGGGGTTATTATCTTGATTTATTAATTGAATTATCCCTTTGGGCCACTTGAAAAAGTTGGATTTAACCCATCCAGAAGACAAATTTCACACTTACTGCCAGTCCTGAGGATGGATCAATGAAATCAGCCCAGTAGCCCTCAGAAGAAATTGCATAGCAAATTTCCTTGGCACCATTAATGAACTGAAAGGGGGAAAAAAATGAGAAAGAAGGATATCAAACGAGATTTCTCTTACACATATCCCTGATCTCATAAAACGAGAAATATTTCTAACTTTATTCTATGTACTTATATCTATTCTAAACAAATCCTTTATTTACTTTCAGTTCTAAAATTTGTTCTTCACAATTATGGCCCTCAGCAGCTCAAGGTTTCAATTTTATTGAATTTTATTTCAATATTATAGTTACTCAGCTTCTTAAGGGTCCAAAATAAGGGAATTTTACCCTTTCCAGTAAATTGTTGTGTATTTTGAGGTTTGATGGCTCTGGTGATTCTTAAGGATCCAAAATAAGGGAATTTTACCCTTTCCAGTAAATTCTTTTGTATTTTGAGGTTTGATGGCTCTGGTGGTTCTTAAGGGTCCAAAATACAGGAATTTTACCCTTTCCTGTAAATTCTTCTGTATTTTGAGGTTTGATGGCTCTGATGATTCTTAAGGGTCCAAAATAAGGGAATTTCACCCTTTCCAGTAAATTCTTTTGTATTTTGAGGTTTGATGGCTCTGGTGGTTCTTAAGGATCCAAAATAAGGGAATTTTACCCTTTCCAGTAAATTGTTGTGTATTTTGAGGTTTGATGGCTCTGATGATTAACTGTGTCTCAACTATAAGTCACCAATAAAGTCAAACCACCTGAAAACAGCATTTTAGACACTAAATTTCTGACCCAGGACATCTTTTGGTGTTGTAACAACCCCTCAGCAGCCACTTAATAAACACTTGAGAGGCACTACTGTAAAAATTCAGATTTGGCTGTACATGACCCTCATTTCTTTAGCACAGGCCACTCATATTAAATATTTTTAAGGTTAAATCTCCCAAGAAAACATCCCAATTCCCTGTGAATTTTCCTGTTTGTAACCTCTGGGCTGGGAGGTTACAACCAACATCCTCAACACCCCAACACTGACTGGATTAGACCTGACAGGGAGGTGCACAAGGAAGAAAGATGCCAATTAACATATAATTAGACCAGATTACAAAGCCAAAGACCAACAGACCAGAAATAATTCAAAGAGAAGAACACACTGAAATGAAGGGAATTTTAATTTGTGTGTAATCTTTGTGTTGATCCTTCAGATTGTTGCTTCCTTTTTTTACTTCCACTGCTTTAGAGAGGCCACACTTGCATTTATAGGATGGAAAGGACATTGCCAGATTAATTTGAGATATAAATATGACACAGATAAAAATCCCACAGGGTGATTTTTTGCTAGATTTGGAAGAATTATGACAAATAAGAGATAGAAATGTTTTATTTTGAGGTGCTAAGGGAGAATGGCAGCAGTGAACAGCGACACTTGCTGGGGGAAACACAAAAATCCCTGAAAAATGGGAAATAAAGTGATTTTCAGAGCCCTCTAGTGGCAACAGAAGAAGACAAAGTTCATGAGGATGGTTAAGATGAAATAAATATAAATATAACAGGCTAAAAGAATTAATAATGTCCATTATCAGAATGGAAAAAACAGAAACACCAGAGCAATTGGTGGTTTTTTACACCTTTTACCAGTAAGGCCACAGACTCTGTACTGGAATCTTAATTAACTCACAGGAGAGCAAAGATAGCAGTGAAATCGTATAAAATATATTGTACTGAAGCTGAACTAAGGGGAGAAAAGAGTTGCTGCCCTTTACCTGGATCAGGACAACACCTTTATTAATCTTTGTGGCATTTCAGCCTATTTTTGACTCGCCCCAGTATGATAAATTTAATAATTCTAAGGAGAAGTTTCACAGAAAATAGTCAAAAAGCTCTAAACCTGCAAAAAATTATCAACCATTTTAACACCAAGAGAACACAGGAATAGCCCAAAATGCCTTAAAAATATAATATATTGCTAGCAGAGCTAGAAATGAACCAAAATACACAGGTAGCTCATAAAAGATTCATTTCCAAAACCCAAAGAAGTCGATGCTGGTGTCAGGTACTCACATTTTCTAAGAGCATCTCTCTCTCATCCTCCACTTCTTGGCTCCACACAGTCATGTCATTTTTGGTCTTCTGGGTGACAGTTAACACAGTCAGGCGGTTGGGACTCACCTCTGGGAACATGGATTCAAAGTCTGCAGGAAGAGAAACCACCAGGTTATATTTTGATCCTACGTTTTCATCATGTTTCCTTCCTTTTTAGATAAATTATGGAGCAATTTCAGCCACATTTCAGCCTCTTCACTTCTAAAATCAGGTTTTATTCCAATTTCATTTCAGTGCTTTCCTTCTTGAACTGATTAAAGATGCAAACCTGATGCTGTCAGAATTTTCATGATTTCCATTTGCTATTTTAATACTGCCAAAACATTTGATAACTGGTTTTGGGATAGTGAATTAGCTCCAGAATCTACCTGACACTAAAGCTGAAAGTTACTCCCTGCCCCAGCTGATCTGAAATATAAATGGCACTGAATTTTATATGAAATACTAAACATTGTCAACAGCAAAGGTTTGGGTTTTATTATATAGTATATATAATATAGTATTATATAGTATATAATATATAGTATTTTTGGCAAAATATTAACTTTTTTCTACTCCATATCCTGTGGCATCAATTACAGAGTATTTACTTAACTACTTAAAAAAAATTATAGAAATTAAAATATTTTAAAGATTTTTTTTTAAAAAAGATTTATAGAAATAAGTATTTTTTAAAATATTTTGAAAAAGTTGTGATTTCTTGGCCACAAATTGAAGTGAACCCCCACCTTTTCGTAGGAGCTCAGGACAAGCCTGGACTGCACATTCCACCTTGGCATTTTCAAAGTAGGTTTCAGCATTATTTATTTGCTGCTTCTGGGGAGCATCAGCACCCTGAAAAAAAAAGGAGAATTGCAGCTTTCTCAGTTAATATGATCACAGGAATAACTTGGTAGAGTTAAATATCCAGATAGGCTTGAGCAATTTCACATAAAGATGATCTGCCATCAGATTTAACATTTTTTAAATATTAAAAGTGGAACTGATATTGGTTTTACTTAAACCTACACAGAAATTTTATATTTTTATATTTTAGTGTTATCTCCAAGCAGAAACAGTACAGAAATTTTTGTTAATAATATTAACTAACAGTCTGAAACAATGACTTTAATTATTTAATACAACGGTAATTGATAGATTTCAGACATTATCTGATTTTATGATTTTCTCACTAAAAGCAGAGATACATCCAGTGTACCTGGTTTGCACTAATGAGCTAGATGAACTAAATTATTATAATTAACTACATGAACCAGATCAGAATTTCCAACAGCAGTGAAATATTTCTTTCCACCTGAAGTTCTGAAGTCCTCCCATATCCATAGAATGAAGTCACATCAAAAACACTTTCAAAACTCATCCTGAAATATTTTAAACTGAACATTGTGAAAGTGAGCTCTCCCATATCCACAAAATTAAATCACTCAAAATGCTATTTCAATACACAGCCTGAACCATTTCTTTTACTAAAAGTTCTGAAACTGAAGTTCTCCCATATTCACATAATTAAGTCACATCAAAAATGCTATTTCAAAACACATCCTGAAATATTTCTTTTTACTGAAAGTTCTGAAACTGAAGTTCTCCCTTATCTACAGAATTAAGTCACATCTAAAATACTATTTCAAATAGCAGTGAAATATTTCTACTAAAAGTTTTGAAACTGAAGCTCTCCCACATCCACAGAATTAAGTCACATCAAAAATGCTATTTCAAAACACACCCTGAAGTATTTTTTTCAACTAAAAGTTCTGAAACTGAAGTTCTCCCATATCCACAGAATTAAGTCACATCTAAAATACTATTTCAAATAGCAATGAAATATTTCTACTAAAAGTTTTGAAACTGAAGCTCTCCCATATCCACAGAATTAAGTCACTCAAA